CATGCAATCCCATTTATCCAACATTTGTTGTGTTTCTAGGTCTTTATTAAGAAAATCTCTGCATGTACCAAGGAACCCTATTCCTTCCTGTAATGTTTTCAGGGTGTCTGCTTTGACTTTGAGGTCTTTGATCCATTTGGAGTTGATTCTGGTGCAGGGTGATATATAAAGATCTAGCTTTAGTTTTCTCCAGATTTTGAACCAATTTTGCCAGCACCATTTACGGAAGAGTCTGTCTTTCTTCCATTCTATTTTTTTACCTCCCTTATTGAAGATTGGGTGCCTATAGGTCTGTGGGTTCATTTCTGGGTCTTCAGTTCTATTCCATTGGTCTTCAGGTTTGTTCTTGTGCCAGTACCAAGCTGTTTTGATTACTATGGTTTTGTAGTAGAGTTTCAAATTTTGTACTGATATTCCTCCAGCACTGTTCTTTCTGTTAAGGGCCATTTTTTTCCTAATCGGGTTCTTTTATTGTTCCATATGAATTTTTGGATTGTTTCTTCTATTTCATCGAAGAATGAGGTTGGAATATTAATAGGTATCTCATTGAATTTGTAGATAGCCTTTGGAAGTATTGCCATTTTCACGATGTTGATCCTCCCAATCCAAGAGCATAGGAGGTTTTTCCACTTTCTAAGTTCTGCTTTAATTTCTGATTACTTTTTGAAGTGCCAACAAGTGACTCCGGTATCTGACATCATCTCTAATTTCTGAGAAGAAGCTTTTAACTGACATATACTTTGTTGCTTTGATCCCAAGAGTGTCTTCTCCACACTCCCACTCAGCAATCTGAACCATGAGTTTTCTGAGTTAGCCAGCCACTCTCACTCAGCAAGTTGAACACTCGACTATATGAGAGCAGTACCAGATGGTGGGTGGACAGCCCAGAGACCTCTCAACCATGGCAGGACCAGATGCCAGGTAGGGGTCTCCCCCAAAGATGGCCAGAGCAGATGCCAGGTAGAGTCCTACCAAGGCCAGACCAAATGCTGACTAAATGGCGAGAGGCTCCCTCAACCACAGCCCTATGATGGATAGTCTTTCAATGCACCATGGCTCTACAGAACCTCACAGTGCAGTTACACTCTTAGAGGTTGTGAATGGGTTACCAAGTGTGTCCACTCCCCATTATCTCCACTGATCCAGATGGATCAATCCTCAGAATATGGAAAACATGCAGACAGAAGATGTCTGAGTAACTCTAAAAAGATTTTTTTAATGGCATGTCTGGCATCCATGAGCCAGCTGTCAGAGTGGTGGAAAGACCATGGGGCCCTGAAATATCTCAGGAAGTGCCACCTCCGTGGGGAATTCCATCCCTTGGAAGCCAAGGCCATCTGACAGTGTCTCCAAGGAACCCCAATATCCTAAAAAGAATAAAAAGTAGGCAGACAACACCAAAAGACAAGACAAACAAGTGGCCACAGACATTTCTTTCTTTTTTTTTTTTAGACATTTCTTTCTTTAGTTACTGGTCCTTCTGGTTTTTCCAATGCCGAATAGGCAGCTCCAGTATCCATGAGGAATTTTGTCTTTTTGCTCCCTATTTGCAATGTTACCATGGGCTCTGGAGGTGGGGGGGGGGGTTTGCGTCTGAGGACAGAGCCTTGGCTCGTCATTCTACATCCTCTCCCAGGGTTAGAATCTGAGCCTCCTTCTTTGTCCTCCTTGGACATTCCTTTTTCCCTGCTACAGTTCTCTGTTTTTCCTGCAGGGAATCTCTGTTATCAAACATTCACTGAGTGACCACAACAGGTCCAGATAACACCTTTCCCTCAAAAGCTTCTAAGCTTTGAAGCATTTTTCTAATATCTGGGGCCACCTGGTTAACGAAGGCCAAATGATTCCTGTCCACGTTGGTCTTCAAGAAACAGGCATTCAAGGGAGGCTTGGGGAACCTCAGGGCAGAGAAACATCTCTCAGTGGCTATCCACTGAGAACAAGACAATCTCCTACAAGGGTATTTTCTGGGGGCCAAGGCCTGGTGCTGTCCAGATGCATTGTCTTGCTGGGGCCTCCAGATGAAATGAATTCGGAGTCAAGAAAATCCATGGAGGCAGAGTCAAAGGTGATATTGATCTTGGAGTGAGGAAATCCACAGATATACAGTTAAAGATGACAAACAAGGTTTTAGAGGATTTTTTGGTTTTTTGTTTTGAGCTGGTAATGAGGCGTGAACTCTGGGCTTAGGCGCTGTCCCTCAGCCCTTCAGCTCAAGGCGAGTGCTCTACCACTTGAGCCACAGTGCCATTTCTGAGCAGTTTCTTGGAGATAAGAGTCTTACAGACTTTTGTGCCTGGGCTGGCTTTGAACCACAATCCTCAGATCTCAACCTCCTCAGTAGCTAGGATTGTAGGTGTGAGTCACCGGTACCCCGCTGACAAAGGAGTTTTATTTACCCTAGAAAGGGGGCCTGTGATTACTTTGTCCTTGGCTAGTTACCCAGAACCAAGAGTAACCTCGACCTCCAAACCTCCAAGGAGACAGCCTTCACATTTCTTAATGGCTTTGCAAAGCTCTTAACCTCCAAACCTTCTAGGGGGTGAGCTTTTCCTTTTCCTCCTTCATCCTTCTCTGCAGGCCTCTCTGACAACTGCTGGCCTCTCACCTCTCTGCAGCCCTCTCAGGAGTCCACAGGTCTCTCTGCAGGTCTTTCTGTAGGCCAATCGCAGGCCTGAGCCCTCTCCACAGGCCTCTCGGAAGGCCCCTCCACAGGCCAGCCCCACCTGCTCTGGGAAGTGCCTCTCGCCACTTCTCTCTCTGTCTCCCAATCCTGCTCCTCTGAACACACAGCCCATATATAGTGTTACCCAAGCCTCTACTCCAATGGTTCCAATGGCTCCAACTGCCCTCTGAAGCCCTGCCACCAAGCTGCCCACTGCTCAATCCCTCCTTGACTGTCCCTCGACACCCCACTCCCCACATACCTCTATGGATTTCCTCTTTCCAAGGTCATTACAGTGACAAAGAAATTTTATTAGCCTGCAACTGCCTTGTCCTGGGCTACCTCAGTACTACGAGCAACTACAACCTTCAAGGAGGTGAGTTTCTTTTCTTTCTTTCTTTCTTTTCTCTCTCTCTCTTTCTCTCTCTCCCCTTCTCTCTCCCCCTTCCATCTCCTCAGAACATGTACTATATATCTACAAGATGTCCCACCCCCAAGCCACCCACTTCCCAACAGCTCCACCTGCTCTTTGACACTGGGCCCTCTCCAGCATGGTGGTGATGACAGTGTGGGGTGGGACTTCCAGCTGGGCAGAGCTTTCTGAGCCTCTGGCTCTCACAATATGTAAATGGTTTTTTACAGGCTCCCTAGTTATCCCTCCTCAGGAGGTTGACTGCTGTTGGATATGGACACAGTTGATTATTAAAATATGAATGTATGTCAGCATCCTCTCACTTTTTACCTGCTTAGAAACTAGGATTATACATGTTTTTACTGGCAGTGAGCTTAGGTCTAGTGTTTTGTTGGGTTTTCTCCCCATTTTCCTGCAAGATTTACTTTATTTTTTACAAAATTGATCATTGCAATCCCCTGGATCCAGATTTTAAAAGAAATTTCCTTTTCTTTCCAAAGTAAATGAAAAAAAGACAACTTTGAATTGCTTATATTACTTGTTTAATATTTGCTTTTTGGGGGGGGTCCAGTCGTGGGGCCTGAACTCTGGGTCTGAGTGCTGTCCCTCAGCTCTTCAGCTCAAGGCTAGCGCTCTACCACTTGAGCCACAGCGCCACTTCCAGCTTTTTTCTTTTTGTTTATGTGGTGC